TTCTATTTTTAAATTTCTATTTATTTCCATCAAGCCAAAGTTATAACATGCAGTTGCATTTTCGTGAGACCACTGTTTATTGGTTTTGTAGAAACTCCGTGATCGATTTTCTGACAGCCCTACGTCATAGTTATTTATTTACCAAAACATGCCGATAAAAACGTTAAATACATTTTTTAAACCACATGACATAGTTCTGTCATTTTTGTTTACATATTCTGTGATAAAAATGTAAACAAACAAATTGTTTTAGAATTATTTTTAAAAATTTGTTTGCTTACCGAAAATACTAAAAACATCAAATACACCCAATCTTTAGCAAAGTCCGAAAAAAAAAATCAAACAGTCAAATTTTTAAACGCCCGGTTATTTTAATAACATTAAATATGATTTTTAAAATGGGCATTTCAAATAATTTCAAGACTATTCTCGGTTGTGTCGATTTTGTATTTTTTAGGACATACACTTCGTCATATTTTTACATCCCCCCTGCCCCCTCCCCCCCACCCCCTCCCTCAAACACCTTATCTTTTCCCCATCGTTTATAATTTATCTGACCAAATTCAGAAACGCCGTTTTCAAGATGCGTGCCGTCATTTATGGACGACAACTCTAACCAAATAGTCGAGAGTATGAGCGGCCACACGTAGCCGACGTGACCTTTCCGTGAATACAACACATGTGTTACCGGAAGTGACAGCGATCGTGTTGACGCTCTCGAGGGGAGATAACTCTAACTATTTCTAATCTGCCCGGATGGGGCTGTTTAATGCGTCAGGGAGTCGACTACCTTGACATTTTGATATCGATACAATTATTTACTTGGTTACGGAGCGATTATATTTGACAGCGTGATGGTTGTGTTGTAGGGTCAAGTATTTAAAATCATGACGTGGAGGATTGTGAACAGGAATGTCCAAAAAGTAAGAAGGACGCTACAAATACAAACTAAGGGGCTTACTAAGGCAGAGGCGTAGCGACTGGGGCGGGGGGCAGGGGGGTACATATGTCCCCGGTGCAAATTGAAAATTCGCTCGCGAGGGGGCGCCAAATTGAAAGTTTGTCCCCCGGCGCCGGGAAGGGTCGCTACTCCTCTGTACTAAGGGGTCGACCTTAAAATGATGTCAAGCCTCTTTGCTGGTTGATTTTACCACGCACATCACCCGCACCTCCCACATCGTCACAAAAATTCAGTTTAACCTGACATGACGTCATACTTTTTATTAGAATTACAAACCTACGTGGCAGTTTGAATCGTCTAGGCCAGGGGTCTCTAAACTACGGCCCGCGGAGATTTTTTTGTCCATAGAAAAGACGTTTGTTGGTGATGGTTGAGGAACTTTGCCCAGAGAAATCAAAGACATGCCTGGAAGAAACTGGCTCCCAAACTGAAATTTGATATTTAATGCGGCCCTCGGACTGAAAAGTTTGGAGACCTCTGGTTTAGACTTACAAGCAAAACGATGATTCAGCAGATTAGCCAGGTTTTCGTGTCGTGAAGAATGGGGGGGGGGTGTAGTGGTGAGGAGCCTACGTTTAAGTCTTGGAGGCTGTACACATCTGACAACATTGTCCTTTGATATGACGGGGTGAACAGATGCAGGTGAACTCTACTCCACCTGGAACCGTCAGGTCAGAGATGGCACATTGACGAGGGGGATTGGTTTTTTGGGCAAGCCAATTCATGACGTCACACCTGGTAAGTGGGGTTGTGAAAGATGGGAGAGAGGTAAGTAAGTTTTCATTGCAAGCCAGGTGGTCGATGAGCAGAAGAATTAGAGCGTATTTGTTTCTTTTTTGTATTTGTATATGAAAAGATAGCGGTCAGTACTGTGCTCAGCCGCCTTTAAATTCCCTAACGTGGGCTGGGTACTCATCAGAACTGGGTGGACCCACAGATTCTAACAGACTCGATATATTTTATTTGTTGTTTTTAAAACTAAACAAGACGTGAAACTTTATAAAATTGTACTTGAAATATACTAAAATGTCCAAGATGTATCTGGTTTTATATATACTCCATCATTATATCCTTTCTAATCCCGACCCCCCCCCCCTCCCCCGTGCAATATTTTCATCAGATATAAACTCCCAATATTCGCAATCCAACCACCCAGGGGCGACAATTAATCTTCTAATAGCTCTTCCTCGAACCACCCCCTTACCTTTCTTCATTCCCCCTCCCCCCCCACCCCCTTCGTGACAACCCGCTGGCTCGGAGCATTCAATTTGTTTAACCAAGTGTCCGCCATATGAGTTGCCCCCCCCCCCCTCCACCTTCACTTTCTCTTCTCCCAACCCTCTCCCCCCCAGTGCACGGGGGTAGGCTAACTGACATAAATGTCAAGCTAAAACAATGATAATTTATTTAAGTGACAAAATGCGTTTCGTTTACAAAAGGTGGCATCTGCTTGCTATTCGGGGTGTCTTGACTGAGGAAATCACACCATTTTTCTTCCAAGTCTTCACCGAATCCATCTCCCCCTTTCTTTTTTTTTATAATATAATTTTTGGCGGCACGCCACTTCGTTGCTTCCGGTGCCTACAGCGCCCCCCACGGGACGACCCCCACACGGTAGGAAGACGATAATTAAGAATTTATTACAACTCTAAATAACACTCGCGTCTAGCTTGAACATTTAATACGAATAATTTGACATTAGTATAAACGAATGCTCAAACGGGATTATTTTTTTTTCGAAAATGATGTATACATTTGTGGTATTTACTTCCCCTTTCGCGTCAAAGATTTGCCGATTACCCCCCTTTGTTAAAGGTTGTTTCCCCTGATGGTTGTAAATAAGAAAGGGACGGCTTAGGTAAAGCGACGGCCGTAACCGCAATACTGTTTTTTTGTCGTGGCAGAAAGATAGCAGTGGCTGATCCAAATAAACACTTCATGGCGACTCAAATGGTAAAGGGGGGTGGGAGGGGGGGGGGGGGGGGATAGGGGAGGGGGAGTTTAAATCTGCAAGTAATTTAAGAAAAGACAGGTTAGGTCTCGCCTGTAGTGTCAACACTGGCCTCTTCTGACAGACACTGACAGAAGGGTTAGGTTTTTAAAAAAATGGACATACATTTTTTTATTGTCAACTTAAAAAAAAAATATTTTGAAACGTGTCAGAGTAACGCGAATGCCACCCTCGTTCGAATGGTCTTGGTTAACTTTCCTGAAGAAAATCATTTGCTTAGATTCGTTTTGATTATCGCTCTTCTCTTGGTTTCGTCTACATTAAGAACTTAACAATATCTACCTAAACACCCGTGTCTACCTACTCATCAATGTCTATCTAAACACCATTGTTTACCTGCATACCAATCTCTAAACACCTTTTTCTACCAGCCCACCATTGTCTGCCTAAATACCTTTTTCTACTTATACACCCATATCTGCCTAAACACCTTTTTCTACCTACTCAACAATGTCTATCTAAACACCTTTTCTACCTGCTCACCAATGTCTAAACACCTTTTTCTACCTACACACCAATTTCTACCTAAACACCTTTGTTGACCTGCTCACCAATGTCTACCTAAACACCCTTTTCTACTACACACCAATTTCTACCTGAACACCTTTGTCTACCTATACACAAGTATAATAGCCCAGCAAAAATCCGATTTTGTGGCTCTTGTATTTAACTATCACCGATGTCAGTTTCAACGTGAACAGTGTTTCTTCCAGACTTTTTTCTCCGGGGGGGCACTTGAAATTTTCGGGGGGGGGGGGGCGGTAGACTTTCTTCGGGGGGGGGGGCGGACACTGTTAAAAGTATATATTTTCTATATAAATTATATAAATTTCATTTCGTTCGGGGGGGGGGCGGTAAAAAATTTTCGGGGGGGCGAAGCCCCCCCGAAGAGATGCCTGGAAGAAACTCTGAACGTGAAAGAGGAAAAATTAAAATCTGATTTATATTTGGTGTTACTTGTGTGCTATATATCTCACACTACCCCTCAAAAAATTAAAATCACATACATATATAAATGTGTGTGTGTGTGTATCAGAGGCGTCGCGATGGGGGAGCAGGGGGGTACATATGTCCCCGGGCGCCGACTTTAGGGGGCGCTAAAATGGGTTGTAATTACAAATTAAAATGTCATTTTAGCTGCATTTTTGCATTATAAATACTTTGAAGGGGGGGGGGGGGTGCAAATCGAAAGTTTGAGGGGGGGGGGGTGCAAGTTGAAAATTTGCTCACGAGGGGGCGCCAAATTGAAAGTTTCTCCCCGGGCGCCGGGAGGGGTCGCTACGCCTCTGGTGTGTATGTGTTTGCATGTGTGTGTGTGTGAGTGAGTGTGTGTGTGCGTGTGCGTGAGTGAGTGTATGTATGTGTGTGAGTACGCGTGTGTGCGTATGTGTGTGCGTGCTTATGCGTGTGTTTACGTGTGTGCGCGTGTGTTCGAATTTTGCGGCAGTTTCCAACGTTCGCACACAGCTCGTTATTTAAAACTTCACATTAAAAAAAAAATTCGAAGACGATTACGTCAAAAAAATCGACATGTTAAAGAGTCTGTTAAACAAGAGGGTGTCGATGAGTGGTGTTTTGACTTGCTGATACCTTAACACTCCCAAACGATTAGCTGACACGGACCGAGCTCAAACATCCCCCGACCTGACACCGGGCCGGTAGCGATATGATGGTAACGAGTTCATCCCCCCAAAACCAATCATGGGCTTGCGTCAGGATTAAGGTTTGAGTGCTAAATTGCTCACTCATTGACACGCAAAGCGCGGCGCATTACATCCGGGCAACGACCCGTCGTCCCGAGCATCGGGGCGGTGATCCGTGTTTGAAAACACCCCGTGAATTTTACCCCGGGTACTGTATCCGTGTTTGAAAATACCCAGTAAATTTTACACCGGCTAGTGTATCCGTGTTTGAAAACTACCACCGGGTTTACTCCGAGTGTCATTTTGGGCCTTCATAATTTTCACATCCCGACATCTTCATCCCGTGTTGATGTGTTTTTTTCTCTTTCTCTTTCTCCCTCCTCAGTACCAGCTTGCTTCTCTCACATCGACCCCTACATCGAAGCCAGAGGGGAGAACTCGGGCTACTCCTTGCCGATTCCGCTTCCGGTGTACATCAGAACGAGGTCGCCCTCCGGGTCGGAGAGTTTCGCCAAGCCTAAAAAGTGCAGGCGGAGCCGGACAGTCTTCACAGAATTACAGGTAATTACACGACCCCCCCCCCCCCCCATCTCTCCCCAATTAGAAATCATATATTTATACGTCCACGCGGAACGGGGAGGGGGTGGGGGGGAAGTGGAGGAGAGGGGGTATAATTCATTTTTTAAAATTAAATATAAACATTCTTGTATGTAATGATAGACATACATAAAACGTGAAAAGATGTAAACATCATTAGGTGTGTATTTATTTAAAAAAGAAAACAAAACCCAGCAAAGCAAGTATTTAAATCAGAAAGTATAACATAAAATTAGTACCTTTGCAGCTGGTCAGTGATACGATAAACAGCAATAAGGGGCATAACTTGGATATGGCCTTACAACTTAGTATATAGTGCTGCGTAAGACTTCAGAAGATAGTTTTCTTAAAACTTTTCTTTCTATAGAATAGAAAATCACATCAACCTTAATAATGCCGTGCCTCAATCTATGAATGTTTGGGAGGAAAATATAAATGAAAAAAGCGTTAATCATCATACACTTATACTTTTAAAACATTCTAATCATAGTACACTACATATTCTAAATTGAACTTTAATTATAAAATATCCTACATGTCCTGAATATATCATTAGATCAATTTTCTGGTCACACATTTCAAGTCACACTTAGGCAATTCTTGTTGTTGAATTTGTTCGGTTTATTGGAGATATGTTTTGAGAGAACTATAACAATTATAGTGGACTTGCGCATTGATGTGGGTGGGGGGGTCTCACGTGGTCGTCATATCAAAAGGAAAGTTATTTTTTTTTTATTACTATACAATTTTGAAGTGCTTAATCAACGTATGCTGAATCTAAATTTTTCTACTTCTCAGTTGATGGGTTTGGAGAAAAGGTTCGAGGGTCAGAAGTACCTTTCAACACCTGACCGTTTAGACCTGGCCGAGTCCCTGGGGTTATCGCAGATACAGGTGAAGACGTGGGTACCAGAACCGCCGCATGAAATGGAAGAAACAGGTAAGGGGACGCGACTCAACACGCGCCAGAAACTCAATAGTCGCGACGACAAGGGGAGATGACTAGGTTTGAATGATTTGGTCAGTGTGGCGGTGATTCTCTCCCTTTTATAATAGTACTACGGGGTTGTTTGCGAGATAGTAAACAAACAGAAAACCTTGACCTTATCTAACGCAAACAACGACCCCCCCCCCTTAAGTTTAATTAAAATTGTTTGGCGTTGGTATAGGAAGTTAATTCCGTCGCTCAAGGATTTGGTTTAGGGATAGGTGTGGTTTTTAATTGTGTGTTGGGGGGGTGGGGGGGGGGGGGGGTGAAGAGGGAGGTTGCTGCATTCGTGAAGATAACAAAATTGTTAAATAGAAGAAAGAGAAAAGCAACAGGGATCTTATGACACGTAGCACAATAGCTATAAGAGAGTTTAATCAGCTGTGAATCTAAATAATGTCTACTTATCCTGAAATAGCACATGCAGAATAAAAAAAAAAAGAAACGAATACTTGAAATCTTTAAGTTTGTTTCATTTTATTTTGTTTAGCTTTCTTTTTAGGTGTAGAATTAGGCGGCTGGGCATAGTGTTGACCACACTATCCTTTCAGATGGCGAGGTCTCTGAAGCAGATGAACTCTACTTCATCTGCCCCATGTCTTGGGCACGAACGGGAAATAATGATAATAGAATCATTTAGCTTCAGCCATATAATTCAGTCCAACTCTTAAGTCCCCCCCCCCTCCCTTTTTTGTTTTCGTTAACAATTTGCAGACTGCTATAACATAAGGGTATCGACATTTTCTTCAACATATATATCGCTGTTCAGGTTAGGGTTAAAATCAGTGAATAACACAGATCATGTATCGAATCCTCGGTTTAAAAAAAAATACACATTTATTTAATCTGTAGTTGTCGCGTGTCAAAACATTAAAATAACCACGATAAGTATAAAAAACTGATTCAGTGGCGTCGCTAGGTCGGGTGTCACCCGGTGCGGCACTTCATTGTGTCACCCCCCCTCCCCCAAGAAACAAAGTGTATATGTGTGTGTGGGGGGGGGGGTCTACATAGGCTTAAAATTTAAATATATGTCGCATAATTAATCATTAATGCAACTATAAATATTTTTTTAAAATTTGAAACAGGTTTTACAAAAAGGCGCCAAAGAAGCACCTACCAAACCCAAAGGGCGCCCGAAAAAAGATTCGCTGGACGAAAGTGCCGACTCGGACCTCGACGTTGACGACAGCGATTCGCGTGACGTCACGAGCGCTGACGTCACAGCGCCGTCAAACTCGCCGATGAGATCGCCGACCTTGTCAGACGACGGCGATGTGACGTCACGGGAAACACGTGATCACCCTTGCAAGGACCAATCACAAAGCAGCTTTCCAGACCGACATTGGTAAAGCCGAACATTAGAACAATGATTGAAACTAATTTATATTTCAATAAACAAACATACAAAAAAGTTTCAAGTTACAAATGCATAAGATAGTTATTGTGAGTTATACAACATTTTGCTAAAAACGAATAGGAAAAAATAGCTTTATAAGATATATTCTAATATGAAAATATCTGAATAATAAATTAGGCATATTGTTAGGTGCTAAATTCCGCATGTCATGTTGCATTGTTGTTCTTC